GAGCGGTGTTTGTCGCCACCTTGAACGCCTCGTTGCAGCAACTGGCTGCTACAATGGCGTTCGTACTCGCGATAGCCGGTATAATGTTCTTAACGACACCTTGCGTCATGCTGTAGGTAACACCTTCGATGTTGAACTCCTTGGCACGAGCGGATGCCTTGTTGAATAGCCATGTAATGTGCTCCGGGTCATCAGTGTCGAGAGTGATATCCTTGCGCTCCTCGTCCCAGGCGATGATATGCGCCCATTCGATACAATGTTGCGGTTGGCGTGGAATAGTAGCAAGTGTGCAAAGAGGAACTGCCGCGCGAGGAGCGTGCATGTCCAGTTGGCACTCAATGCATGAGGTCATGGTTGGGAAGATGACACGTGCTTGGCCCTTGAAACCCTCTGTTCCTCCATCAATTAACGGCTTCATTGAGTCCGGGTCATTCTCATCCACCATTCCTACGAGAGTTGCGTTGATCCATCGTCTCGCTTCAATGGAATCTAGACCGCATACGATGAGTCCGAATTGCATGTAGTAGCTCTCGTCCTTGTCCTGGATTTTGCCACAGTAAGGAGTGATCTTGACGCCCTTGACACGCTTCTCGACGAAAGCGGCAGCTGTTTCAGCCTTATATTTCCCTACATCCGAGGCACGGAATAGAAACTGTCGGTTGAGGTTGCTGACGTCAATGGTATCCATATCGATAACGTGAATGTCTTTGAATCCGGACAGAGCAAGATTCTTGAGAATTTCGCATCCTAGACCACCAGCTCCGCTAAATAGTAGTTAGTAAAGATGCGACATGAGGGGCGGTCGTGCATTATCATCGAGCATTGATACAAACGTACATGACACTGCATACGGTTAGCTATGACTTCTTGCGCCTCGGAATTGTGATAATCCTACAGAACTTTGAGATTGCTCAGATACTCGATGACCTGTTCACCGGCCATGAAAGCATCTTCATCTGTGAATGGACCCTTGCGAGTGAGGAAGTTGTCCAGGTACTTCCTATAGCATGCTATCAGTCAAGAGCTCCGACGTTTTTCATTTTCCAGCTTACCATCGCGCTCGCGGGCTGCTTGCTGATGCTGCACTCATATCATCTATACTGACAGCCATCCTGTAAAAATGCGTGGGAAATAAGCGTTGTGAGTCGAGGGGAGCAAACTGGGGTTGTAGGCATCAGAGTGTAGACGGTCTGCCAAGGCGCTAGTCTGCGGGCCCTCGCATGGGGAAGGAAACACCGATTGGGTAAGGTTCACTGAGCGTCTGCCTTTCGCATTGATCACGAATAGAGCAAAATACAACGATTCGCGTTTCCGTTGGATCGATGTGGGTGTACACGTCTGGTAGCCTTTCCTGAACGCCATGGCCGACTTTCTCACAGCCGTATCCACCCGGAAAGTCAAAAAGGAAGAACCTCTTATTCAGGAAGTCAAGAGCTTGAGCATACGAGAAGATGTGGTTTCCATCAACTCCACAGAATCAGCACTGGAAGCACTCAGGAATCAACCCAGCCGCAACAACGTCAATGCCGTTCTGAGCTATCTTACGACCGAAGGGTTTAGCCTCTTACTACCAGAACCACTAAACGCAAGCATCGCGCATCAACTCATCAACGACACCATTCCGAACTACTGGAGAACCATCAAAGACGCTGACGAAGTTTCAAAGCTCAAAAAGATACTCCGAAACCCAACATGTCTTGGGCATCTTAACACGAGACTTCGTTCGCTTATTGCGGACAGTCACCAAAAGAAGGCACCTGGTGAAGCTAGAAACACAGCGGAGCATATTGCGGATGCTCTCCAAGTCTTGAATTTGGTGTTAAGCCGCGACGAGACATCCCATTTCGTGTTACAAGATGTTCTAGCGTTTGGTAAGAACCCAACGCAAAGAAAACTCATTTGGAGAGAGTATCTCGCGCAAGTCGCGTCCGGTCGCTTGCTATCTATGGCAGCGGAGGCCGAAGATGTACTCAAAAAGAGTGATGAGGCTCAGCAAGATTCAAGTTGGGTCGCGGATGGCAAGCTATATGCAGCATGGCTGGGACGCAACATTGCCGTCTTGGTCGAGCGCGGCTCAGATAGCGAGGAATACCTCGCCGCCGTTGCAGAGCTTTGTTCCAAATCGCTAGGATTAGGTTACACTGGTACGTCAGAACTCCAGGTCAGTTGCCTCATACTGACAAGATAGATCACATCATAAGCGCACTTGTTCCGACATTGCTTGGCAACGGGGCCATTGAGCGCCTGACCAACCTTTTATCCCAGATGAAATCATTCGAGCAAAGGAAGTGTCTAAACGCTATAGTCGCATTCGTGGCCAAAACGTATTTCTCTACAGACACCGTCAGCAAAGACGACGCCCCCGTTGCAACCTCTGTTGCCGTGTCCTCTGCTGCTGCTCTGTTCCACATGCTCATCAAGGACAATGACGTCCTAAAAGAGCAGCTTGTGACATCACTTACGCGGTCAACGATTCCTGCACTTGATGACTCTCTATCAGCTCGGCGGAGTGTTCTGGCTGCTTTGGCCAAGGATGAGGGTCAGTGAATACCGTACACCTATTGCTACTCAGACTGACGATGTACAGACAAGCTATATACTCTCCTTGAGGGCCTCATAAAGATGTTTGGCGATTCAGTATACATCAGGCACACGCCTGTGCTGCAGCAAGAAGGTAAGTCGCATTTGCACTCTATCGCTATACCTCCCCCCTAATATAATCTAGCTCTTTCTCAGACCCTGGTGATCTGCAGTGGCTATGTAAAGCGTTCCCAGCCGATGTTCCTTACCATGATGGCAAAGTCAACACATCACGTCAATGGCATGTCAAATCGCATAGGAGCAGCATCTACGGGGGCTCGCTTTCTAGGCATCGCAGTAGGTGTTGCCGTCTCGAAGATGGTGGACAAACCGGAACTTCAACTCAAGTTCGAGTTGGAGGGTACTGAGGCAGAAGAAGCGCGCTGGTACCAACGCCTTACTGAGGTCGACGATAAGGTTGGAGAAGTTGCGAATCTTGTGACAAAACAAGATATTGTGGCGAACACGAAGAGAGTTCAGTCGAAGCCTAAGCCGCCTCCCAAGGTGTCCAAAGCCTCTGGAATCACCGAGATACAAGGCCCAAGGGTTGTAGAAGTCATGTCGGACTCCGAAGATGAGGATGCAGATCTGATGGTGTACGAGAAGCCAGACTCCGATCCGGAAGACGACACAGACGATCCAACGGCTGTCAATCGCAACAAGCCCACTGCACCGGTCTACATCCGAGATCTGATCGCGGGGCTACGCGACCAAGAGAACTACGATCGTCACGAGCTCGCTTTAGCTACCGCAGCATCGTTGATACGACGAAAAGCAAACTTCGGAACCGAAGTCATCGATCATCTCGAGGAACTAGCCACTTTGCTTACGGGATTGCAAGACAACTCAGAGCTGGAAGGTTTCGCGCAGCAACGGCAGCAAGCCTTAATTGCCGTGCTCCTGGCGAAACCAGCGCAAATGGCGCAATGGTTCGCTCGATCATTCTTCTCAGGCGACTACAGTCTACAGCAACGCATCGCCATGCTCACAACTCTCGGCCTTGGGGCGCGTGAGCTAGCAGGCATGAAGGACACATCGACCGACGATTTGGTGCCTGCAAAGCTGGACTTTCCCAGCAAGCAGCTTCCGCCACACCTCCACAAGATGTATGCAGAGGAGAACAAGGCACCTACAGTAGCCAAGATCTCAAGCAGCATGGTGCGTGAGATGCTATCGCCCATTGCTAGTCAAGCAGCCGATCAGCTCAGCGGCCCCAACATCCTCAAAGTCCGGACCTTCTCTTCGCGCATGGAAGTCGAGAAGAAGCGACACAAGCCTATACCGAACGCGCTCGCGCAAATTGTGGCAGACAACTTCTTCTTCCCGCTCACGGGCCGTTGGTGGCTGCAGATCCGTGCGAACAGCGACTCGATATATGCGTCTACTCACCTCCTGCCTCCGTTCCTACAGACTCTGTCGCTGTTGCTCAACGCGTCGGGCCCGAACACACTCGCGTTGCCGCAGATGACGCGCGAGTATTGGGACCTGCTACTGTCGGTGCGCGGACTAGCAAGTAAGGACAAGAATATCCTGAACGCGGTGTTGTTCGGCTTCCTGATGTTGCTGGAGACGAACGAGAACAAGGAGCGGGTGGCTACGGAGCAAGGCAAGGAGCTTATGGAGACGCAGGCCTGGGTGAGGATGGTATTCGAGGGTTTAGGTGCTGGGAACGAGGAGGACGAGAGGGTGCGCGCGTTGGCTGCTGGCGTGGTGGTTCGTTGCCAGGAGGTGATTGAAAAGTACCAGAGGAGGTTGGCGGGTGAACTGATGAATTATTAGCGCGTATGTAAAGTTGATCAAATACTAGATGTGAACTACCACTCTGAGCGTGCGACGAGGTGATACCTGGAAATTTCAGCAATTTGGCAAGACTGCTGCCTGGCTCAGGACGGTAATCGGGCTATGCAACACATGGGGTAGAAGTATACAGTGTCGTGGTAACTGTTGACTTGATGCGATACTATACCACACATGCAAAGCGATGCGAAAATCTTCTTCCTCAAGACACCGCGTAAAGCGATGTGATCGATGAAAAAGCAACACAGATGTGTGACCAGCAAAAATTGCCCCGCCGAGATTCCCGAAGGAAGCTCGTAAGAGCCCAGTACCGCGTTGTGCAATGCAGACCAGGCGCTCAGATTAACCCAATCTTTGAGCTGGGTAATCGCAAGAAGGTAAGTATGCCTTGTTTGTCGTGAAGCTCGCGCTGCTTATATACATGGACGGGCTTGGCACGCTAGTAGATCATGTGATACAAAGCTAGGGTGGAGGGGTGAGCAGTGCGCGGACGAACTTTGGCTGGGCGGGTAAAGTCCGGCGGTGGGTGATGATGGGGTGGCTGGTGATTGGTCGGCGTCCATGCGTACACCTGAGTGACGTTTCTTCCACAAAATATATCTTTTTAACGACAAAGTGTGAAAGTAACACATATAAGCTGCTGCACTGCTAATGTAGGATTGGAAGCTGAAAAAGGCACTTGGGATTCACGGGTTGTGCCAATCGAGTGGAGCCGCGCGGTTTCGTTACCGCGGAAAGTTTCCAAGCGCTGCGGCGCATTTAGCTCGTTACCTTGAGATGACATCACCCGGGCGCCTACAACCTGACATTTACGACAAGGTAAAACATCATGACAGACTCGAGCAAATACTAGCTCGATGACCATACTTCGCTTCAGCGAACTCTCTACACCACGCTTCAAGGATCAGTCGACATGCACAACATTATCATCTACGCCATCGACCTGATATCCTATCCAGTGCCCTCATTTTCCAATCCTCTTTTCGCGCAGATATTGCTCAAGAATACCACAAATAACCAAACACTCGTAAATTGACCGGCCGTGCTCCAGCTCCATCGTCCTAGTACTTCTTTCACAGAAGTCTTCATATTCGAGCATCCGTATATTGCTGGCCTCGTTAGGCGCCCTTCGGCCGGCGAACCTGCCTTTGAAAGCTTCAATCTCTTTTCTATCCATGTACTTTTCCCAGAGAAGTACTGTCGTGTTTGGGTTCGCGCGGATTGAGCGTACGGCTGGCTCTATGTGCGAACCAGGTTCGCAGGTGGAAGGTTGCGTCTTCTGTACCACGGCCGTGAGGTTGATAAGATGGTCTTTGGATAGCTTGAAATTGGTTTCCTGTCGCAAATCGTCCATCATAGGACCAGTAAAATACCCTGAAGCGTCGAATGCTCCTTTTGGGAACTCAAGGTACAGTTCATTGCGTGCGCGAGCTTGGGGTGACTCTATGAGAAGGATGTAGCGCTCGTCGAGGTCGCTTTTTGGACGAAGTACTATCATCAAGTTGGCGTTTACCGCGGTCCTACTAACTGGGGGCGGGGGTTTGGCTGCCATGGTATCAAAGCTCTCTCGATCAGTGTTGCAATCCGTTGTTTTTCAAGGAGAGAGCCAGAGAGTGAGGGTATGTGGCGTGCGAGTATTGCGTTCGAGACGTTCGAGGATAATGGGAGGACCGAGAGACAGAGCTCCGCTGACGGACAGGAAGCAATGGAGCTAGTAGGGTGATGTAGATACGAGATACCTTGGAGCGGTGGATGGTGATGAAAGGTGTGGGGTGTAATACATATTTATACCTTGATCTCAAGCAGCTATACTTAGGTATGATGCTGTGTTAGCGCTACTTCGGCATTCGTTCAAAGGGACCCTTAGTATAGCGTTTGATATCTTAATGCAGATCTTCCAACTTATGGCCGGGTATACCAATGGGTTAAGGTTCTGATGCGCGCGCAACCTGATTTGCACGATTCGATGCTTCCCCACCCGCCGTTCGTCTCAGAACCATGCGCGGCGCTTACGGGATGACCTTGAGATAAGTACATACATAGAACGATATGCCAGCGGCAACGAACCGCTCAGTGGGGAATGTGTATGTGCAGAGCTTTTGGTATACAATTGCTGTTGCCAAGTCATGGCATACTGCGAGATGACCAGAGCTCTGCGCCGCGAGAGATACGCATAGAAATAGCTTCTGCCTCGCCCGTTTCAACAGTCTTTCATTCTTCTAGCTTGTACTTCAGGGTCAAGAAAGGTCATCTCGAGGTCGTCATTTACTCATCACTTGCTTTCCAAAAGTATAAGCTGAAATTGCACATTCGTCCCGCTCTCTGCCTGCCGCAAACTACAACAGAAGAAGGACGTACGTGTATATGTTAGAAGGTTGTATTTGAAAATATCCGAGCGCGCAGATAATTTGAGATGGACACCGAGTTTATGATAGTGGAGGGATGGCGTGAGTAGATTCATCTCTAGTCGTCTACAAGTGACACAGTCAAGCAGGGCTAGATATAGCGATAGCTGGTATCGGACGCTACGAGTGAGAGAGCTCAGGCATACACTCCAGGTGTACAATAGAGCAACAGGTCGGAGGGCTCAAGACATATATGCAAGGTGTACAATACCTGAGTAGTAGATCAGTCTATGAACGATGTCTGGTATATTTGGAAAGCGGGCTTGGTGTGTTGTGTTCTCCGCCATGCCTAATGCCGCTTCTGTGTGAAATGCGACATGTCTAACATCTTCCAAGTTCTGATATTGGGCAGACTGTTAGACTATACAAACGCCATTGGAGAAGTCGTTACACTCACCTGGTAGGCTGATATGCAGTACCTCCAGCGTGCAGTGAGACCCAATTCACATCGGTGTGATACCTGGACCATGAAAGACTGCGCTAGAGCCCTCGACGTCACACGGAAGATACCTAGGTATCCACTTATATAAGGTGAAGGTGAGAGCGAGATCCTGACTTCTAACCCTACACTCCTCCATCTACACAACAAACCGATACATCAAACACTACTAGAACCACCGAGATCAGTTCCCTTCAGCACCATCATGGCTCCCCTCAGCTTTTCCGCCGAGTACATTGTACTCCAGTCCCCCGAGGTCCAGGCCAAGGTGGCCCGCCTCCGCGCAGATACCCGCAAATTAAAGGCTGAGATAGGCAGGTTCGCCGCTATCAGTAAGTACTATCCTGTCGCAGTTGCAGAAACAAGTGCAATGAAATCGGAGCTAATTGATCACCTAGACGGACACATCATCGAAGCCGGCGGTGATCCGCATAACCTCCCAAACCCATGGTACCTCACACCGGCGCGCCTAGACACCATCCTGCGCCTCTACTACGGCCTCGAGCCCCACGATCGTGCCGTTGCGGCCTTGTATTTTGGCCAGTACTTTGGGAGTGTCAACGGAGTCGCCAACGGAGTACCTATCAACGTCGTCGTCGTCAATGACTTCACCATCTATGCTCGAGTCGCTAGCCACGACGAAGTCTTCCACATGATCAACTGCATTGAACACTCCGAGTCTTTCGGTGAAGGTGGCACTAGCCTCCCCGTCCACAGCGAGGAAGAGCTCAAGTTCGACATCATCATAAGACTTACCTTGAGATCTCCAGCTTCAGCTTAGAGGGTTGGACATACCAAGACTCGAGGTATCTGAAGATTCCTGTGCTCATGGACAGAGTAGCGGATGATATTTCAAAAGAGAGCATCAACGGAGATAGATGGTTCATGGGAGATTGGAGACAGAAGAACGATTTCTCTCTGATCAATGGCACGCTGTACACACCTAGGCAGTCCTGCAAGTTTCCCTGTTTACCCTACACGTGGTTAGTGCCACCCAGATACTTTCCCGAAGCGACCAATGATTGTGGATAAAATAATGAACAGGAATTACCCAATTGAGAGACCATACAACACGAGCTGCTCATTCGTCGGATTGAAGGAGTGCAACCGAGTGGGAGAAAGCACATGTGACCTTACCCATCCGGAAGCACCGGCGTCTATCATGTGGCGATGCACAGAAGACCTAGACTGGTGACGCTGTAGCATATAAAAAATATTTTAGGGCTGGAGTATATGTTACTTTTGAAACTATATACTTTTTAACATTCAATTGTATGTATGCGACACAGCGTTTGGAATTTTCAACGCGAAGTAAAACCATCGCAATAGCCTTTTGTAGGTTGTACGGCAACATCTTACGAGCTGGAACCGCATCAAGCTATTTGACCTCTAGCATCGAGAAGCAGAAAGAGATAGAAGAAGAGCAAGGCGGCAAAAAACGGCTTTTCGTGCGCAGCTTGCCCAGACGTATACAACGATTCAAGTGGGCTACATTCAGATACTTATAATGGCTCGTGTATGACTTCAGTGGCAGTAAGTCTCTCAGCCTCTCTTTCAGAAACTTCTTGTAGTTTCCAAAGCCATGTTTTGAAACTGATAACTCCTTTGTCAAAAACTTTGTATACCTCAAAGCGTTCACAAAAGTTCGAGTTCTTCATGAGCTGCTACCTTTTAGCCTTTACAGGTACTCATGAAATCGATGCTTCTCCATGATGCGAGCTATATCTGGGGGACTATGAGCAAGATTAGCGCGTGGTGTAGCACATGGCGGCTTCCGTATCGTTGTCGCCCTCTTCAACTTCTAGGACATCTTCAAGTAACTTGTTGATATGTTGGAGATACGGGTCTGTTGTCTCGTTCAGCTCTCGGCGGACTTGGTTATCTTGTTATGTTCGCATGTGTGAGCGGTGCGCGACCGTATGTAGCTGGAGAAACTCACGTCAATCTTCGTGACGATGAGTCAAATGCTACGATATCCATTGGGCGCCTTCTGAGCGGTATTTATTATCAGTATCCCGAGGTCCCGGCCATTCATGGCTCGCGAAGCCTCTCCCACGATCAGGTATAGGGAGGTAGGTAAACTGGGGTTTGTGGCCTTGGTGCATATATCGTCGTTGCCTCCGAGCCCTGGGAATATTAGAACCTGCTTATGTTTGAATCAATGAATAGGACTTACCTGAGTGGTCGATAAGCCCCACGCCATCTTGACAGACCAGCCACGTCAAAGTTACCGTGATGCATACCCAGATCGGCAGTATTCAGGCGTTCTTGGTCAGCCGCAATTCCAGCCTTTTTGATTCTTAATTCAGCGGTGGTGGCCTCTTCTTCCGCAATTTGCTCTTCTTCTTTCAACGCCACGCGGCCGTGTACAGTGGGAGGGATTGGCATGAGCGCAACATAATCACAGATGCTGCGACCAGCTGGCATATTCAGATCATGACAGACTTGCTTCGACACCCATATCTCGTCTCACTCTCTGCCAGTCATTTCGTGCATGTATGTACTGGCACACCGTCCGGGTTCCGCCACCCTGAACCCACCGTTCTGGATCTTGGAGTGTGTGTGTAGGGTGAAGACCTTTTCCGTGACGGCCGGTTCGTCTTTGTGAGCCAGATAACAGACAACACGGAACTGTAGGTTGTAACCTTTGGCCGGGTATAAGAGGCTCAGGACGTTCTCTACGAGCGAACCAAGGGCGTTCATGCTGCCTTCGCCCCGAGAGTATGTCTGGCATCAATCACGGGCGCTCGCAGCGTAGCCGCAATAACTGCAGGGGTTCGCGAGTGGCTCGGACCGGTCATGCTGGTCAATGTTTGAGATGACGAGCTTCATGGCTTTGCACCAGGTCAGAATCCGTGAGCTTATGTTAGCAACGGCTTCCAGTCAGGCAATTGTCTCACATCAGTGACCCGACTCTCCTTGCCTTTGAGGAAGTGATGTCGTCCACTACCAATGTCAGCTGTGTTGCACATGTTCATCTGCATCCTGTCGATAGCGAGCGCTCGCGGAGTGTCGTCATGTCCGCCAGACACATAGACACGCAAAATTCTGAGAACCTGTCGATGGAAAGAGATCAGTCTAGCAGCTGCGTTGTGGTCATGTTACAAAGATATCGGAGCGGGCCTCTGCGAGCGCCACATCCGGACTGAAGCTTTGATTTGATGAATAGTGCGCTTGTTCAGCACACAGGCGGCAAGGCGTATGCCATTCGAGTAACTTATACAAGGAAAAAGCTAAGTAGGTCTGCAGCCTACATTAGGATAAAAATATGCAAAGTAGATAACCTAACAATAATGTAGGCCCTAGGGTGTTTGGTTTTTCCCTTGAATGAAGTGCGAGTATGCGCCAATACAGAGATTTACGTTGTCGCATAGACCGAGTTTGCGCATGCGTCCAGGAAAATGGCATGATTGATCTTCAGTTCGCGCTTTGCGTGGCTGCTCTGGAATGTGTGATGGGACAAGCTGACGAGATCCACGTTCACGGGGAATGGTGGTGATGAAGACCTCAGTCTGTTCGAGACTAGTCATGAAGCGAGCGGAGTATCGTGGACACTTCCGAAAGGTTAAGAATCCACATTTTGGCCCCAGAGCAGAAGCATACGTTGAACCACACCATTCTGTTCGATGCAAGACCATGGAACGAGGAGGTATTCCATTTGATATTCGAAAAGAAACTAAAAAGTGATGACGTTGTGAGGTCCTCCTGGCTCCAGCATGAGGTCTGAGATGCCAAAGTGTGAGCACTTCGTATGCACTAACTGGCTGTTGGTCCCGATGTCCGTAAAGTTTTGCGAGATCGAAAAGAACATGACACTCGTCTCGGGCTGTTTTCGACACGCCACCATCAGCCGGTTGAGTGGGATTTTTGATGTCGTGGCAGCTTATTTTCTGCTGTGTTGTAGTATCCAGAGACCACCCAGTAGGCCAAACATGACGAAGACTGGTTGCTGATTTGATAGAGTGAAAAGCCGATTTCAGACATGCGTAGAAGACCCTCTCATTGTGGTGAGGAATGAGGAGGCAAGACAGCAAGCCATGTCGCCGCTCAACACCTTTTTTGTTGGAAAAAGACCGGACTGGGAGGCCACATGATCTTGGTGTGATTCGATTTTGGTGAGAAGAAAGACCGGGATGGGGACATGTTTCTCAATCTGGTGCTTTTGGTCCAGAAAAGGTTATTGCAGGAAGAAAGAGGGAGGGTGAGCAAAGCCAATTATAAAGCCGCAGTGGCGGTTCAGGGGAGTCATGTGATGCGCATACGTTCGCGTGTGAGAGAATTTGAGAAAAGAGGAGGTCATGATGTACTGACATGCGATGGGTATATTTCATTTCGACTCTCCAGCCACCTTCATGAGCGCATCTCCAACATGAGTTCCCCATATGCTTTTGTAGCTTCCATTTTGCGCCGTTCCCTTTTGACTCCAAAGTATGCTATACAATCTATCTATCCGTCAAGCACCCCGCTCTCCTTGAGAGAACGGAATAACTCTGGTTCCAGGAACTTGCTAATCGTGACATCTTCTGCGAGGCCCTTCCTCCTCCTTGTCTTAAGCACAAAATCGCGTGCGAGTTGTTGTGCGGTTGCGGGTTCGAGCGGTCGGGTCGTGATGTCTTTGTCAAGAGGGTCGCCGGGGACGATGGACCAGCGGTCGAAGACGAGGGAGAGGGAGACTTGGCCTTGTGTGTGAATCTACAGGAAGTCAGTATATGCGCTAGGTAACGGGGATGATTGTAGGAGGTGTACGTACCCTAAGATCGGTCTCGAAACCAAATGAATCGATGACCGGAATAAGACCACGCACGTTGTAGAGCGGAGTACCCGCAATGGGTCCATCCTGCAGGACGTGTCCTCTCCTTCGTGCGAGGACTGTGTACAAGCTGCTCTTGGTGTCTGCAGGACCGACCATGCTGCAGGAGTATACCGGCTCCATCAGCCTGGGGCTTGCCATCAGGAAACTTGAGTAGCACGCTCTTCGACTTGTTGGAATGATCTGGCCACCTCCACGGAAGATGGCTTCTGGCGCAAGTTCGACATCAGTTATTCGGAACTTTGTATTGCGAATGGGCTCTTCGCAGAGCGGGCCTTCTCGGGTAGCCCAGCTGAAACCTTGTCGAAGCGTATCGCGCACCGTTCGCAAAGTCTTGCCGTCGACCTCTGAGGGGAGTGTGTCGTTTTGTAAGATGTTGGGGCCCATGTCATCAGGCCCGAAAGCCCAAATGTTGCGCGACGCGAGTAAGTCGTATCCGTAGTTCTCCTCAAAGAACTTTCCAACCACTCTGACGGGATCCTTAATGTTGACCTTTCCAGCTTCGATGTCTTCCGCAATACCTGGGTCTAGCGGCTCGGCAATCATAGTGAGCTTGTTCTTCTTGTTCGGTGTGAGCGCGTAGCACTTGATGGCAGACATCTCAACGACCGTTTCGCAGAATCTTGTGACAGGGTCTGACACCTTGATCTCCATGTCGGCGTATAACCGTCGCAGGTCGTGCAGAACACAGTCCATGTATAGTTCGCCCGTGCCGAGAACAACGTGCTCCCCTGACTCCTCGACCTTGGTTGTGATAAGCGGGTATGACTTGTTGATCTTGCGCAGACCGTCAAGCATCTTCGGTAGTTCAGAGGGGTTTATCGGTTCGACGGCGACCTTGAATACAGATTCAAAGAAGTGGCGGATAGGTCGGAAAATGTAGGCGTCTTCGTCTTCGGGGAGTTTGGTAGCTACAATAGTCGCCGTCTTGACTATCGAATTGTCGACACCGCCGAGCAGTACCCAGTTACCTGCCGGAACACCGCTGACGGGGATGTTGTATCGCGACTGCGCTATCCATGTGTCTGTTACTGTCGCAACGACCATATCTTCCTCATCCTCGATCGTGTAGCCTTCACCAAGAACACGCACCGACTGCGGCGAAGTTGCAGTACCGCTCATTACTCGGCCCAGTGCTGTAAAGGACTTTGCATCTGTCGCATTAAACAGCTTTGTAACGTGTATGACGAGGGGTCCGTTCTGGTCGCACTTCTGCATAGCTTCTGCGGTCTTCGTATCCAGAGGCCCAGTGTAGTGCCTCTGCAACAGCCGTTGCGCACCTTCTTCGGGCGAAGGAACGTGTTGGGTGATCATGTCTACGAAACCGAGAGATGGGCCGAAGTACTGCTGGCATACGAGACGCATCAGCTCCTTTGCGTCGGTCTTGTATTCGGAGGGCTTCAGTCGGATGCCCAAAGTGTCGAGCGTGTCCTTGAGGTCATCCGGGCTCTGGCTCAGCGTATGCGAGTAGATCTTGTAGACAGGCTCTAGGATCCAGTGCACGAAAGACCGTTGTGAGCCCTCCTCCTGCCGCTTGCGACTGAATTTCCGGCTTCCGGGGTTATAAAAGATGTCGCCCCAAAGTCGCATGGCGAATTTATCGATATCCAGACCCTTCAATGGAACGCCGAATCCTGGAAGTTTCGATGGACCAGGGTAAAAATCGGAGTACATCTTGGCGAAGGATTGGATGGTAAAGCACCATCGCATGCTGGAGCAAGCGAAAGCGACGTTGCCTTTTTCAGGGCTCACGCGTCTGCTCTCGCCGCGACCTGGAATGGTGTTCTCGATTATTGTGTTGACCTCCTCGATTACGTGCTTGATCTTGAAGTATGCGTCGCTGGGCGGAAGCTTCAGCTCTAGAATCAAGCGGTCCATCTTATTGACCACAAGTGTGAGGGGCAGATCTTCCAGCACGGCGTGCTTTATGATTTGCTCCGTGTTCACTTGCACACCCTCCACCACATCCACTACCAAGACTACTCCATCGACCAGGCGCAACGAGGCGGCGACTTCATCGGCGAAGTTTACGTGTCCGGGGGTATCGAGGATGTTGAAGAGATGCGACTTCAGCTTCGTGTTCTGGAGCACGAGACTCATGGGCGCGGCCTTGATGGAGAGGCCTCGCTCGCGTTCGAGCACGTGCACGTCGGTGTATCGCAGCTGTTCCTCCCGCTTCTTGCCCCTCTTGTAGTCCAGGCGGTCTTGAATGTCGTGTGTCTCCATGACCAACATATCCATAAAGGCAGTCTTTCCGTGGTGCAAGTGTCCAGCTATGGCGATATTCCGTATCTGGTCGGGGAAGTTCATCAAATCCGTCAAAAGCTCTCTTGAGTGGTGCACCGGAGGCAGATCTGTCTCTTGAATTGTAAACTTCTTCTGCACCACTGGTGCAATAATGGGCTGTGCCAGCGACTGCGTGTCTTCCTCGTGGACCAATACTTCGACATCTGGGCCGTATACGTCGGACGCGGAAGGGTAGTACTGCTTGTCTTCGTGGAGGATCACGGCGTTGGACGGCCCTTCATCCACCTCCATAAGCTGCTGGTCATTCGTCTCCGCTTCATCCTCATCATCGAGGACATAGGCGTCGGCTGCCTCGCCAGTGCTCTGGACATCGTCGTCAGACTCGGCCTCGCCAATAAAATTTCCGAACCTGTCAAAAGTCAGTCGCGTAACAATTTCGAAGAGAACTGGCGCACTCACTCGTCGTATAGGTCATCCATGGCGGCGGTAGGTGTGGGTATATGCGCGGTGATGATGCGCGTCGAGCTTGAAGCTATCGCAAAAGTTCAGACGTGGTTCCGCGGCCTAGCGCTAGGCGGTGAGGGCGGAGGTCATGGCTGACCAATGGGGCTCTGAGGCGACTCCTGCAGGGCCAGCAGGCGCCATCCGTTGTCGCGCAAGGCTAAACTCCAAAAAGATCTATCGGGGTATATTTGTTGATCGGGACATTTGCTGAAAGGCACCTTATATCTGCTCTCTGCACCTTCACTCCGCTTTCCTGCATACCCAAGATACCCAGCATGTCGTCCCTTCCCCCAGTTTACATCGTTTCGGCCGCCCGTACGCCTACGGGCATGTTCTTGGGGTATGTTCTCTAGTACCAGAGAAGAGGGGCACCGCCGACTCACGCGACAACAGCTCCCTCTCGAGCCTGAGTGCTGTCCAGCTGGGCTCTCACGCCATCAAGGGTATGCCGACCTGTTACCATTGGAACATGAACTCGTTCTAACAACGCTTGCAGCTGCCGTTGAGCGCGCCGGCATCAAGCCCACCGATGTCGAGGAAGTCTTCGTTGGCAATGTCCTCTCCGCAAAGTATGTACAACACCAAACACGCCGAAACTCCAAGAGAACTCTATTGACAAACCTCAGCCTCGGCCAGAACCCCGCCCGCCAGTGTGCCATTGGCGCCGGCCTCCCCGAGTCGACCGTCGCAACCACCATCAACAAGGTGTGCGCTTCTTCCATCAAGGCCCTCATTGTCGGTGCCCAAACCATCATAACCGGCAATGCCGACATTGTCGTCGCCGCGGGAACCGAGAGCATGTCCAACACCCCCCACTACCTCCCCAACCTGAGGACCGGCGCCAAGTTCGGAGACCAGCCTCTGGTCGACGGTGTACTGAAGGATGGTCTGACCGACGCATACAAGAAGGAGCACATGGGCCTGCAGGGAGAGGAGTGCGCAGACGACCACGGCTTCTCCCGCGAGGACCAGGACGACTACTGCATCCGCTCCTACAAGAAGGCGAACGCTGCGCACGAAGCTGGCTGGTTCAAGGAGGAGATCGCTCCCATCGAGGTTACCGTTGGACGCGGCAAGCCTCCGGTCGTCGTCGACCGCGACGATGAGCCCAAGAACGTAAGTCGCGACCCTTGCAGTGTTCACTAATCGGCACTTTCTTACTTATCAATCACAGTTCAACGAGTCCAAGACCCGCACACTAAGGCCTTCCTTCAAGCCCGGAAACGGAACTGTCACTGCTGCCAACGCTTCACCGCTCTCCGATGGCGCTGCTGCTCTTGTTCTTGCCTCTGAAGAGGCTGTCAAGAAGCACGGCCTCAAGCCCATTGCTAAGATCCTCGGCTGGGGTGACGCTGAGCAGAACCCCTCCAAGTTCACCACCGCCCCTGCGCTCGCCATGCCCAAGGCTCTGAAGCACGCCAAGGTGGAGCTCTCTGCCGTCGATGCATTCGAGATCAACGAGGCCTTCAGTGTCGTTGCGCTCGCTAACATGAAGATCCTTGGTATCCAAGAAGACAAGGTCAACCTGCACGGTGGTGCTGTCGCGCTCGGCCACGCGCTCGGTGCCTCCGGTGCCAGGATCACAACTACACTGCTCGGTGTGCTAAGGGAGAAGAAGGGCAAGATTGGCTGTGCCGGCATCTGTAATGGTGGCGGTGGTGCCTCCGCCATCGTGGTTGAGTCGTTGCAGTAGCTGCGCCGTCTCGTTAATGAAGACACGTAATGCTAGATATGAATGAAGATGATCACGTATACTTCCAGGCTGGATCTCCGCGCCCACCGTTACGCGGTTACGTGAACCGGACATATTCCAAACCTCGTCTAGTTATCAAGATGATCAGAGATCTCACCCACTGTAATATCTTCTATATTTTCTGTTCCAAGTAAGTTGGTGTATGTACTAGTCATCGCGACAACGATACACCCACCTGCAAAAAGCACTTATGTATATACTCGAATTGTGTAGATCGACTTCCCGATTCATTGGTTGAACGGTCGGTTTCAGGGGGGTGGAGCGCCAGTACTGGCCGCGCTCGCTTCGTGAAGCGCTAAATCCCGCGCGCGGCATTGGCCAGTAGTCGCTCTCCTTCATCCCAACCCCCGATCACCTCACGTTTCAACGCGTCGACGGCGAATCACATGCTGCTAACCATGGCAAATGCCTCAGGCAATCGATTATAACCGTAGGCCCCGTCGCGTATCCACCGGGATGTGCGCTTCTCGCTGTTTCAAGCGCCTCTCCCCGTTCACCAACGGACCATCCGTCCTATTTCTCTTGAAACGGCGCACGTTTGGTTAAACATCCGGGCAGCCTTGCTCAGCGCTATTGAGTCCCCATCTTGTGTACCTGACTGGTTCCTGCAGGTCCCCCTCAATGTTGCTAACCGGAGATAAACTCGGTCCGTTCATAACTCCCCTCTTGTTGAAACGGAGCCCGATGTGCCTAACGGGAGATGTACACTCTCCCGCGCTCGTCTATCCTCTAGACGAGGCCGTTGGGGCGAATCGGTGGCTGCTATGTCAGGGTCGTTGCCACGCCTCCGTTTTAGGCCTGCGTATATAGGCAGGTCGTCCCTTTCCGACCATCTGGTGCCTCGTCACATCGCTAAACTATACTGTCGTCTTTTCGTTCTTGTGCCTTTTTTCTTCACGCGTCTAGTACGCAGTCACTCATTACTATTCTTATCTTCCAGCGTCTCGACGATGCGTTTCTCCACACTCACTTCGGCTGCGGCCTTTTTCCAACTGAGCATAGCTGGCTATACTCTCCAAGATGACTACATGACCGACTTTTACGGAGCCTTTGACTTCTTCACTGATGCCGATCCGACAGAAGGCTTTGTGAAGTATGTCGATGAGGCTACGGCGAGGCAGACAAACCTCATCAACTCGTCTTCTTCAGCGATATCGTGGGGCGTGGACACACAGAACCAGACCCCTGAGGGAAGGCCTAGTGTCCGTATCCAGAGCAAGAAGACCTACGACAGTGGGTTGATTGTGCTGGATGTTGCCCATATGCCATTTGGATGTGGTACATGGCCAGCGTAAGTAGACTTGCATTCATTGAAAGTCATGTCGCTCATAATCAACAGATTCTGGACCACCGGTCCCAACTGGCCAAAGAACGGCGAGATTGACATCATCGAGGGCGTCAACGACCAGACGAACAACGGCATGACCCTCCACACTGGCCCCGGCTGCCAGATTGGCGAAGACACCACCCAGTTCGCGGGCTCGGTGACTACAGGAAACTGTGATGTCGCTGCCGAGGACCAATCAAAGAATGCTGGATGCTCTATCGAACACCCATCAACCAAGAGCTACGGTGCAGGCTTGAACGAGGGTGGTGGCGGTGTCTACGCGACACAGTGGACCGCCGATGCCATCAGCGTTTACTTCTTCCCCCGCGACTCCATCCCGGAAGACGTCCTCGGTGACAGCCCAGACCCCAGCGGCTGGGGCAAACCCGCTGCAAAGTTCGCTGGCGCCTGCGACATCGAGAGCACATTCAAGCAACAGCAGATTGTATTCGACACTACATTTTGTGGACAATGGGCGGGCAGCAGCAGTGTTTGGAACAAGAGCTCCTGCAGCAAGAAGGCCGACACATGCGAAGAATGGGTAAAGAACAATCCAGAAGCTTTCACCGAGGCGTACTGGACGATCAACTCGTTGAAGGTTTACCAAGACAATGGGTACGGTGCTGTTCCTCAGCCCTCCTCAGTGCCTGAGCAGAGCAGCGCTGCCTATGGCTCTGTGCCTGTCCCATCGGAGACACCTGCTGTGCCTTCTGGCCTTCCCGAATCATCCGGATACCCTGCAGTTCCTCCTCTTATTACCGCCTCTGTGTCCGGCATCTTCGCACCAATCCCGACGAGTGAGACCCTCTCCAGCGCCCCAGTCGCATCACCTCCTGCCGACGATGCTTCTCCCAGCGTACCCGCCGAGACCCCGAGCCCCATCGCCGCACCTACCACGCAGATCAACGCTCCAGCTCCAGCTCCCGCTCCGACTGGCCCCATGTCCGGCTTCCAATGGCCTTCCGGTGGCGCAGATAGCGGCAACAAACCTAAGCCATCGACAACACCCTCTGCCTCGCTTCCTGAAGGCACTAGCACGGCAATCCAAAACTCGAGTGGCGCAGCCGCCGCTCCTAGCACAGCGCAAAGCGTTGCCCAGCCTTCTGATGTACCAGCCGCATCCCAGTCGTATGCTGCACCCGGAGTACCTCCTCCTGCGCCCACTGCATCCCAAGCACCTGCTGCCCCCGAGGTGCCTGCCCCAGCGCCCACCAACGTTGAAAAGGCACCTCCAGCCGGTCCAGCTGTTCCCGTCGTCACCGACACTGTGCAGGCTATTCGCACAGTAGTCGAGACTATTTACCATACCGTCACCGCTCCCGCTCCCGCCCCTGCGGCACCAACGCCTGCTCCTCCTGCCGCAAAGGGACGCATGGCAAGACACATTAGGGAGCACAGGCAGAGGCTCACAAGGCACCACGCTAGACACTGAACGATACTCGACGAATGATGGAACAGTTGGACAAGTCACACTGGTTGATGGCTTGCTTGGCTTGGTGGATGGAAATGGCGCACATATACCCCTGGGTTTCTTTGTATATACCTTTTAGACATTGGCAGCAATTCATTTGGTTGTGATCTGCATATATCTTGTCTTTCATTATGACGCTTCGTCATGTCTTTGACTTGGCGCATAGAAACAAGTACTATCCTGGATGTCTACGTCTGTGAAGATCTTCCTATATCCCCTTTTCTTTGCGAATGCTTGCACCTTTCTGGGTTTTGATCTTCCGAAGGATGGTTTGTTCGCTAGTATTATGTCTTTTCGCTACCAACCTTGTAAAAAGAAGTCAAAGAGCACACCCCTCGCGTTGGCAGCACGGGCAAGGGGCAACAAAAAGCAGCGCCACCCACACGCCAGGTGTTCTTGTCACACGCAGCGAGCAGAACAAACGAGTAGCGAGCGAAAGAAATATAGAACATCAAAAAGACGACAAGAAAACCATCATCCCTTCCTTATCGCTCGCTATCGAAGCAAAAGTATGGCAAAAAAGAATGTGGACGCTGTGGGAATTGAACCCACGACCTTTCACAAGTACGCAGAAGAATGCGAAGCGACTGAAGTTGATTGTTAGGAAAGGAACTGAGCAGAGGTGTGTTGAGTGGGGTCTTACAAATCATACCCCTAGACTTCGGGATGTTAGTTGGGTTGTAGAGGTTGGTGGAGTTGTGGCAGCTTACCCAAGCGCCCGTATTAGGTAATCGATGAGAATTTCGCAGGCCATGATATATATATCGTAATGATACATAAGCCTCTGAGGATCTGGGACCCAGCGGGCGTCAGCAACGGATTATGGGGGGCGAGATCATGGTCGAGGTGGGGGTGAGGGGCAGATTTTGGAAGGTGGGGTAGGATTGAGAACAGCTTTGGAATACCAAAGTTATCGCATATCCGTACATATTATACGCTTGTCTAGCTACAAACCCGTAACTCATCATCATTGAGAGAGACCAGAAGACCCCCCAAAACACCAGAGTAGTGCCTGGCTCCGCCATACAATTAATTAACATAAACAAATTGGGGTGATGTGCTCCTTCGATTTCAAAGCCTGTTGACCCTTCTCGTCCAAATGGTTAGACAACTTCGTTATGCCAATCCGCCTAAACATGGGATACTGTGTTGTGGGCGAGGGCTCTTCCGAGCCTGGGTCACTACTCCCTGTTTTGAAATCTGTCTTTCCTTCAAACTTGAGCAACAAGCAGTACAAGTAACGAAATGCCTTCCGTACTGTTCGCTCTCCATACGCGACGGGCATACAGTATAATTTTGCGTCATCGCGGAAGATATCGACGTCAGATTCTGGTGCGTCGAGATACAGGTTGGCGTGTTCGAGATGACGCGCAGCGCTGGTATTCGGTTCCAAGACTTCAGGCCCGGGTTGATCTTGCTTCAGCCGCCAGCTGTACGGGACTCTGAGTGGTGGGTGGAGCCTACGCAGCTCAATAGCCCTGAGATAGCGCGGTTGGAGCAATAACTTTCCCTGGTCTACCATACCATACTCATTGTCTACATCCGAGAGAATGACGTCATGGTCAAGTACTTCGAGCATTAGCTCTTCCTCCGGTTTCGAGACTTCTGTGTGATCTTGGGCTCGGGTACAATGTCTGTTTGCTCTCGCAGCCCCGTAATCTGTGACGTCGGGATAAGTGATTCCGTGGGGAGTGTCGATTGATGCCCATGAAAACGAAGGCGCTCGGGTTGCGTCGCGCCGTCCAGGGTTCTCGAACACACCGTCTCGATAAAGCTCATTCACCTGCCAAAGGAGTTGGCTCTCTAAATGTTTTCTCCAAAGGCCAGCAATATACGTGCTTGGCTTGGCGAAAAGCTTCTTGTCTGTACAGAAGCGCCTTGCAATTCCGGAAAGCGCTATGAGTTTGTCGCGCGAAACTGTGAGTTGCGTTTTGGAATAGACCTCTACAACATGCTTCCACAGCTCGTATATGTGCAAATCTACCATACCCTCGTCAGGGTCTGGAAGGCGATTCAAGCGATTGTTTCGTAGTGCCTCTCCAGCTTCCTTGGTCAGATCTTTGAAGCGTCCTTCGTCCACTATAGCTCCTAACTTAGCCCTCTGGGTTAGATTCATCTCCGGATGCCCCTCGGCATCTTCAAACCCTGCACACTCCCAGGCAATCTGATCGCGGCAAAAATGCAACACTCGTGGTGCCATGAGACGTTCTTGGAGTACCCAGCCTCTGCGGTTGACGGCTGCTTCTTCGACGAGTTCATTCCAGAAGGATAGGTCAATAATGGTGCACCTTATCAGCTGATCTTCTTCCATACTTCCAGTTCTCTCCGACCCGAAGAGATTCGTTCCAGTATAGTTGACGTTTATTTCGTCTTCCCAGAGATACTCGGGTCGCCGGCTGAAGAACAAGCCCTGATCTCCATCGGTGGCAGCAGTAGCGGAAATGTTGAGAAAAGATCCTCGATATATTTGATCCATTTGTCGACTCTGCTCTAGCCAATCACTAACGGAGCCCTTTGATCGACTGTTATAGTTCTCAGTCGGCTGTATAATGCACATGGAGTCGATCCAAATGAACCCCACTTTGTCCAGGCGAGAAGCGAAGAGGATAGCGTCTCGGAAAGTTTTCGGCAGCTCTCGCAGCTCGATACCATCTCGTTTGAAACGATCCTCGGTAGTGTGATCCAGCCTAAGCTGTCCTTGGACACTCTTGGGCTTTCCCCAGCAATGACTCAGCGTAAGGTACCGATGATCCTCTCTTTCATGGCGACTCTTCTTTGTCCTGTCGCTGTTCCATGAATGGACCGACAATTTGTTTGGGGCGCCTGGGTTTTGGGTGAAATCGCTAGTCTCAACCAGATACACCTTCTTTCGTTCCACGTCGCCATGGTCGGACATGATTGTCAGACTATCTATCTCTTTGATACCGTTGGCACTGCGAAGCTCTTTAATATCCAGTAGGCGCTTGGGGTAAAACTTCTCGACAGGTTCTTCCCAGAACTTTGCACATTTGCAATCTTTCATCCAGCTCTGTGCTACTCCGAACACCTCCTCTGAAGATGTATCTAACGATCTTGGTGTTCGCAGCCGACCATTTTTGGGTTCTGTTTCATGTGCTTAGACAAGTTCTTGTAGTTTGTGCTACTATGCTACCTACTGGTCTCCTTCAGCAAATACATACGACTGTAGGATCTGTTCAGGTCGAAGTCGAGGCTGTACCTAACCCCTGACCCGTCTGCGGGTAGTTTCTTAAGGCTAGCTTTGATCGATATGGGTCGATCCTCGAGGAGATCCATATCGCGCCGAAGTACTCTCGCTAACGATATGCATATCGAACAATCAGCTTCTCTCGATTTGCGGAGCGACGCTGTGGTATTGTGGTGATTGAATGTTAGATCGTGAGTACCTGCCCACAACTCTCCTCTTCCGCCTCTTAGCATTCCCACACATACTTTGCAAAGCATACTGGTAGGATAAGGCAGAAATCGTTGTTGGTCTGGCCTCGTTGGTGGCGGGGGGCTGTGCTTAGCCTAATTGCTGTTACAGACTGGAGATAGTATTGCGCCCAGTCAGTACATTATGGGTGTTGAGAAGAGAAAACAACGACTTTAAAGAAGAGATGCGAGCGAGCGAAGTAATACAGTAGCGCAGACACCATGCGCGATGAGTCTACAGCACGCAGGATGCGAGGCTCGAGCGCCTCGCATCATGCTGGCCCGCCCTCGTCTCAGCTGCGGGTGCGAGCTGCAGCGGTACTGCTGGGAGGCGCCAATGCTGCCATCACATAGGCTGATGGCTGCGGCCCTGATAAATTGTTGGCTGTGGGTGCGGGATGAACGCATGTCTCCATGTCGATGCTGGGGCGCAAAGAAGTTGCCCGACCCCGTACCGGTGTGCTTGGTCACTCCTGCCTGAGGCGCCACGCGACGTCTTGATTGCTGAGAGCTTGACGCTGCTGCGCCCCGCCAGGCTTCAGCTAAACATCCACCCCACCCGCTTCCACTACCCAAGGCCTCTTACAGAAGGCTCCAGCACGATCAAAACAGAACAGAAAGCCACTTCTCGTTGCATCTATCATTCTTCACATCGTTTATTCGTTCCGCATCATCTCAAACAACGGGTAGAGATGCCCTCCACTTTCCAGCTGTCAGCCTGGGAGCCTGCTATACCTGTCACAGTTGCAGACGGCCACACTCTCGACGAAAAGAAGCTGCTTGGATTTCCAGCGTTCAAGAACTGGTTGGAAACACTCAAAAAGAATCTTAAGGTGCAAACAACTTCTGGACACACGTTTGAGAAGGACCCATGGCGCCTTGAGGGCGTGAATATACACAGCGTCACCGTCTTTGCGAACGGCAAGATAGGCTTCATGACGATTGAAGCCTTGATGAAGAGTGGTGATACAGTTCTGGAACGGGTCATCTTCTTGCGCGGTGGAAGTGTAGCTGTTCTGATGATACTACGACCGAAAGACAATAGGAACGAGCGATATGTCATTCTCACAGAGCAACCACGAATCGGCGCATGTAGCACTGCTTTTCTTGAGATCCCTGCAGGAATGCTAGACGACAAGTCTGGCGATGTGATTGGGAAAGCGATGGAGGAAATCCAAGAAGAGACGAGCCTGCAGGTCAAGGGAGAGGAGTTGATCGACCTGACCGCAATGGCTCTTGAGCAGGCTCAAACAAAGGAGCATCTCCAGCCAGCTTTGTATATGAGCCCTGCAAATCTCGATGAGTACATCCCGCTGCTATTGTGGGAGAAAGATCTGGACCGGAAGGAGATCGAGGCTCTAAAGGGCAAATTGACGGGCGAACGCGCGAAGGACGAGTTGATCACTTTGCGCGTCCGCGATTACGAAGTGCTCTGGAAAGAAGGCGCAAGAGATGCTAAGACGCTGTGTGCCTGGGCGCTGTACGAAGGACTGAATAGGGCTGGTAAAATTGAGGAGCGGTTACAGCAAATTCGAATAGGTCGAACACAAGGATGACTCGCCGAGGAAAAGATATCCCCACCGACTTCTAAGTTCCAAGGCCTTTTGGAGTACTTTCGCCCCGTTTTTCGTTTCAAGAGTCGCTACTAGCCGGCCCAGTTGGTCCCCAGCCTTTCGTTGGAATTACGCTAGAGCATTGGTAAGCACAGGACCCGTCTGGTAGATAGTGCGGGGAGCTGCACACCTCAGTTGAGGTGTTGATGATGTAGCGGCCAGTAGTTTCATTGGCCGTTGCGCAGCATGTGTGTCGGTGTAACGGGTGATGATCGCGACTCTAATTTCCGCGAGCTGAATACACGCGTTACGAAGTATGACGACAGGTTTTCAATGGAATTCGAGGCGCTCAAAATTTGCAGAGCTCGAGCCTTATGACCCGTGGCGCATATACACTATTAAATCATACTAAGTACAAACTTGCTAAAGTAATGTAGGCTCTTGCGCTGAAATGCTCTTCGGACAATGCAACAAATTGTAGCTACCCCTAGGAGCGTAGTTGAATTTCAGTACAAAACCGTAGTATCGAGCTAAGAAAGAGGAAAACCCGTGTGAAGGGATTTCATATGCGCCCATTTGCTATCGCCTTGAGCTAGACCATTCGCACAGTGTCCAGCCGCTGCTAAATCACCCGTATCATGATCATGTCGCAAAGAAATTCTTATCTATATCGAGGTTGCCATCTCCAACTCCATGAGGCTACTCCCCGAATGTTTTGGAAAGGTATCCCGTGATCGCAGGTTGAACACGAGATATCTGCACCGCGATTCTCAGAACAGAACATGGACGACGGACGTCTGACTTTTTTTTTGGGGGGGGGGGGGGGGGATGCGGAGGGACATGTACAGTAAAGGAGAAGAGGGGTGCAAGAAATCTCGAAGCTATGTACACGGCAGAGGCGCACCCTCAACGCATGATCCAAACTTGCAGGCTTTTGAATACTATGTGCTCTGCTACATGTCTTTGAAGTTTCCAAAAGCGATGTATTTGGTATGGACCATCATGCTCGGACTTTTGAGAAGAGAAGCCGTCATGTCTGCATCAGATGCAAGTTTTAACAAAAACGAGTTTTTTGTGACTCTTTTGTGATACGAACAGGATGCAGCAGACATCCTAGACACACAAGCTCAAAGATCCGAAGGCGGCCATGATGTATACGTCAGCGCGTTTGAAGTACAGCTCTCCAACATAACTTCGTATGTCTCTTCTGTGGTAGTCCGCGACAGGCAGACAGCGAAAAGACATGATGACCTAGTTTGCGTCTTTTTGAAGCAAGCCATATCTTCCTCTTCTCCAGTTTTTCATTTTGGTGTAAAAAGTTGAGTAATGGAAGAATGAAGACGGGTATGCCAGTGGTAATATTTAAACCCATGTCCACTAGCACAAAGCATCGCCATGGTGGTGTATGTAGCCATTTTTCATACTCAGCGATGCACAACCTAAGTTGCCGCAAACTCTTGATCATCAGATACTCTAGCCAGTCTTCTCGTTTCACATGGGTATCATGAGAAGTAGAGCGACGGTCATGTAGATCTTGAATGTATCTTTTGAGAATGTGGAATCGCATATGCTTCCATACTCGTCGTTCTGGCACATATAGGTGCTTGCAATTGGTTTGTGGAAATATTCCCGGCGAAGGGAAAGCACGAGGAACAGACATCTATTTCTTGTACGTGAATTTTGGGAAAGGCCATGATTTTGTTTATGACCACTTTTTGGTAACACGGAAGGCTTTTCGTATTCTTGCAAGAACAATGGAGAGAAGAGGCAACAGAAACTTGAATATCGTGAGCCGGGTCCACGACGGCGGACATGGCAAGAATAAGCGTAAGTTTGGGGTCGATCGAGGGGTCCGAAATCCACGGATCATGGGCTGCTCTGAAGGCGCTTTTGGAGATGTATGCGCATAGAAATCTGTCGATCGTGTTTTGAACAATAGAAAAGGGACGTGGACATAGTCCAGAATGTAATAGTTTTTGAGGCCAGGCCACATAGCCTTGACGAGGTTCCTTTTTGGAATAATGCAAAGGCAGTAGATGGGGAATGAGTTCTATGGGCAAGGAAATGGTGTTGTTATAGACGCAGTGCCAAGAGGACCGCGTTTGCGTGATCTTAGGAAGGCGTGATGGACACGATGGGACGGTAAGCTAGACAATTAGCGGGATACCCGGGTCTGTATACTATACCGACAACCCCCACAGACTGGTGAAGTAGCGTAGTCAACATGTAGCGAGCAAATGCTCACTGCAGAGAAACAATAGGAACAACTGCACGCGATGAAAGAGGCGTAGAAATAGTATTTGGGTATCAAAATGCGCACCGATATGTGGCCAAAGCCGACAGAAAACGCAGAGTACAAAAAGAATGTGGCCGAAGCCAAAGAAACAACGGCCGTGACAAACGTAGTAAACACCCGCAATTGCTCGCTCCATCACTTGTACTGATACTCGTTCTCGTCGTCACTGTCATCTTGTCTTTCGAGCTCGTCTTCAATTTCCTCATTCAGTAGGAGGCCCATATCGTATGTCTTCTCCCTAATCTCATCCGCCTCTTCCCTGCCCACTGAACAGTCGTCCATGATGAGCAGGATCGCTACCTCAGGTACCATGACGGCTTGTACAAAGGCCGCAATACCCGATCCTTGCACGACGCGATCCTTGCAGTTCTTCATCTCGACCTTGAGAGTATCCATGACGCTTTCTGTGATGACGCGACGGCCGTGGGGACCATAGTAACCGGGGTAAGCGGCCTTTTCGTCAAGAGCATACGACTCCAGTTCCTCTTGTACATCTTCAGCCAGATCTGTTCGTCTCGAGGGTACGGCGGCTGCCTTTCCAGTCAGTGCCAACGGTTCGTAACGATCCCTGTGTATACTGGACCGTTCGTTGTTGAGTATCTGTAACAGAGTCGTCTTGTTCCTGCGTATCCGTCTCGGAAGCGATTTCCAGTCGATATCCGGGTACCCTTTCTGTGTGTATTTCTTCTGTGCTGACTTCTTCTTGTGCGCATGGCAGAACGCAGACTTGTTTCTCACAGTCTTGTCCTTTCCTTTCCAGAAGTTCCAGTATTCGTCCTGCTCGACTGGCTTCGAACATAATGTGCATCGTGAGCCTTCCTCCTCTACCTGTGGAAGCTTCCCAATGTAACTGCTAATGTCGTCGAGGGCTTCTTGCGGTGCGCTGGAGTCTGGCTGTGAGGAAGGTGGTTCCTGATTTTCCTTCCAGCTGTTGAGTTGATCAAGGAGTTGGGCGGTTCTGGCTGCCTTTTCTGCTTTTTTCAGTGACTTGGGGCTCATTGAAGTGATTCCTAGTTCCTTGTCCAGCTCTTCGCCTTCGATTATCTTGGGTGTAGCATCACCGCCTTCGGTTTTTATGTCTTTCGCCTTCTTTTCTGGTCTACGCAGTCCATCGATATTGTTTTGTGGTCTGTCGCAGTCTTTTGGCAGCGCAAAGAGCTCCTCGTCGTCTATACCAATGGAACTTGCATCGCTCTCGTCACCAGCTTGTGATAGGCCACTCCGCAATTTACTCTTTGTTCCAAAGGCTTGCGCACCAGTCCTTACCGCTGCCTTCCCAAACTTCTTCGCAGGTGATGCTGCGTGTATATTCTTGATTTTCGAGCCATAGCCTTTGCCGTTCTTGTCATTCTTTTGTGACTCATACTCCATATCCCACTTGATGGGACCGCTGCTGACTGACCCTGCAGACGAGGCCGGAGTATTTTCTTTAGAATCGTCGAATATTGTCGTGGCTTTATGCGCTTGACCGCTCTGATACGTCCCTCTCGTAGGCGCACGTATCACTTCTATATTCTTTTTGACAGTCTTCTTTTGAGGCCTTCTCAGTACTGTATCCTCGGTAATCTTCGACGTAGGTATAGTGGGTTTTGAGGGTTGGACCGGTTGAGGTGGGGGAGGATGCGATTCATCGGAGGAGGATACGGGCTCGGCATTGATATCGATTTCTTCCTGCTGATTTGTAGATGACGTGTCGTCTTTCGCCTGTCTCTTGGGCGTCGGTTCTTCATGATCGTCCTCGCCAGCATGCCGCTTTCCACCAATGTTTCTTAACAATTTCGGCGCCTGCTTCGTCAGGTATACCATTGCCGCGCATCGATGAAGGAAACTGAACGAAAGGAAAAGATACAATGCGTCCTCGAGGCAATGCGATGTCGGCGCACGTGAATGTATAGTCTTCCCGAGACGGACTCGAGATCATGCAGCAACGCGCCTTCCGGCGTTCCACCCAACGCGAACACCGCGTTCGCGCTAGTCCGTCTTATCGATACCGCCCGAGCTCCGCCAAAAAAAGTTACCAGAACTTGCCAACTTGGTCGCAAACCCTCCCAAACAACACCAAACCCCCAGCATACCCTCACAATGGCTCTAGACGAAGCGCTCCAGCAGCCCTTGAACTTCACTGGTCATCGGCACATGATCTCGCGCCTCCTCCTGGCAACCCTCACCGGCCGACCCGTTCGCATCTCGCAAATTCGCTCTTCTTCGACCACACCCGGTCTAACACGCCATGAGACAAACTTCATCCGACTGCTCGATTCGGTGACGAACGGCTCGCAGGTTCAGTTCAGCATGACGGGTACGACATTAGTCTACAGACCGGGTCTCATCACCGGAAGTGCCGAGGGCCTAGGAGCCAGCGGCGGCGTAATCAGACACGAGATACCAGCAGAGTGCAGAAAGAGGGGCGTAAGCTGGTGGCTGATCCCACTATGTGTTCTCGCACCCTTCAGCAAGGGAAACATGAACGTTGTCTTCCACGGCGAAGGCTGCGTAACAGCCTCCACAATCGCCGGCGACGTCTCCGCCGACACCGTACGCACAGCAATCCTCCCTCTGTACAAAAACTTCGCAATCGAGCGAAACATGGAATTGCGCATCCTCAAACGCTCTTCCGCCCCCGCAGGAGGCAAAGGCGCAGGCGGCGAGGTACAGCTGGTATTCAACCACCAAGTCCGCCTTCCCAAGACACTCCACCTGCTGAACCCCGGACGAGTCAAGAAGATAAGAGGTGTAGCATACTGCGTCGAAGTCCCGAAGAGCAACAACGAGCGCATGACCTTCACCGCGCGAGGGATCCTCAACAAATTCGTCCCAGATACCTACATCTTCTCCGACGCAAGCGCCGCGCCCTTAATACCTACAAACGCCAAAGGCCACTCCAGCGGAAAAGTGAAGGGCGCCGTGGGTTTCGGAATCAGTCTCGTGGCGGAAACCAGCACGGGATGTATATACTCCGCAGACGTTTGCTCACCACCCGACGGTGGCGTACCTGCAGACGAAATCGGCAAGCAGTGCGCATACCAGCTTCTCGAGAAGATATCGCAGGGAGGATGTGTAGAGAATGTCGCGGCACCTACTGTTCTCATGCTCATGGCTATGGGCAGTGAGGATGTGGGTAGAGTGGCGCTGGGCAAGGATATACTGGGCAGCGAGGAAATCATACAACTCGCGCGTGACTCCAAGGTGTTCGGCGGTAGCGCATGGGGCTTCAGGGAGGCAGGAGGCGAGAGGGAAGAAATCGTCGTTAGTGTTGTAGGAAGGGGAGTAGGCAATGTGGGACGAAAGGTGGCTTAGATTTCTTCAGTTTGGGAAAAAGTTATGAGCGCAAATATGATACCCCCAATTTCTCATAATCTATCTTGGTCTGATGATACTACTTCTCGTAGTGCATGTACTTCGTGTGGGCGTCACCGAGAGACAACCAGGTAGATACTTGTCTAAGCAAAGAAGAGACGCCACCCAATGATCTGATTGGCATAAAACCACTGTACAAAAAAGCCAATGCTAACGATGGAGACGTTCCTACTGCCTCTTTCCCGCCGAGCTCGCTCCACTACCGCTGTCCTCATCGCTGTCCTCATCCTGATCCTGAGCGTACTTCTCGTTAAACCTATCCTGGTCCCGATACGGGCCTTCACTGCCCTCGTCATCACTCAGCAAGTCTTCATCAGACTCGCCGGCAAAAGCATCATACAACTCTCCACCCCGCTTCGCCCGCTTCTTCCTGCCGGCAGCACCAGAAAGCAAGCCCGCATCGTCTCTATCTTCGTTGTCGTCGAGGACTTCGAACTCATATGCGTCGCGCGAGTCCTTCATACGCTTGCGCCTAGCGATGAAGAAATAGGTACCGAGACCAGCCATGAAAACAATAATCAGGGCGAGAGCGCCGTATATCCAGATTTGGGTGCGCTTCGACACGCCGAAAGTGGGGAAGGGGTTGGGTAGGAAGTTTTCAGATGGACCAGCAGACGCCGTGGCACTGGCACTCGCAGTAGCCGGAGTCGTCGTCTGCACACCGCTGTTAGCTGGTGTCTGAGAGGGCTTCTGGTTTACGGGACGATCGGGGTGGTCGTCGGGGATAGATGTCATGGTAGGTGCGGTACCACTGGGTATGGCAATACTAGTAGTATGCGCCGGATGATCATCAATCTTATCGTGATCGTCATCGTCGTGCTCGTCGGGGATGGGGCGGAGTTTGGCTTTGGAGGCGTCGATGCATTCGCCCCAGAGGCGGAGCTTCCAGTCGGTAAAGGTGCCCGTCTTCATGTTGCCGGATTTGACGTCTTTGACTATGACGGTCCAGTTTCCAATGGCGTTTTCACCCCAGTGGGCGACGGACATGAAGGTCCAGTCAATGTAGCCGTATGGCGCTTCGTCATCGCGGCGTGCGGTGGAGAGGTGCGAAACCATGCCGCTTGGAGATCGGAGTTCGACACTGAGATCGCCGCGGCGCTCGTGCTCTACGTTCATGGTGAGCGTGATATGCTCAACACGAGCAAAGTTGGCTTTCTTGAGCATGTCTTCCTTGACTTCAAAGACACTGGCGAGGCCCTGATTGCCTTCGGGGATCGCCTTCTTTACGTGCATCCAGGGCGAGTAGAACCATGCTTGGGGCTTGACGAGCTCCCACTCCTTTGCCTTCTCTACAATGGCGTAGGCATCGAGCTTTCCGTATCCGAATTGATGGCTGAACATGCGATCGATCGAGGTCTTGGTCCAGTCGCTGGGCGTGTCGAAAGGAACAGCTGTCATGACGGCGAGCCATTGCATGTCGCGCCATGTCAACTCAGGACGGGCCTGAAGCGCAAGAGCAAATACTCCTACGCCAATGGGTCCGGCAGCCGATGTGCCTCCGTGCTGGCTAGTGCACTTGTTTGCGCCAACGTCTGTTGTGTGGATGGCATCGCCGCCGCCGCTGCTGTATGTTACAACCAACTGTGCGGAGCAGGCCTCAGAGTAGTATGGGTGCCCGTTGTTCTGATCGATGGCGCCGACGGTGATACTGTAGATGCTGTTGGTGTAACCGTCGAAGTTGCAGTTGTCGTCGCTCGCAGCACCATTGCCTGCGGCGAAGACGTAGATGGATCCCTTTCCGCCACGGCCCTTTTGAACAGCAGTGACCATGGCCTTCTCAATGAGGATGCCTGGAGCTTGCATGGTCTTACCATCGTCAGGTGGGCCCCACGAACACGAGTAGATGTCGTTCTGCTGCATCTCGAAGTTTATTGCGAGTGCCTCGTCGAGATCTGTAATGTCGCCCGAAAGGATGCGCACGCCCGAGATCTTCGCGTCGTAGGCAAGTCCGACACCACAGGCGTCGTTCCTTCCGGCGGCGATTTCTCCAGCGCATCGTGTGCCGTGTCGGTCGTCGGAGAGCTTCGGGGTGGGGAGGTCTTCGTGGTCGTTGTAATCGTGGGAGCCTGCAGCGAAGAAGTTGTCTTTGAGGTCGTTGCTGGTGTAGTCCAGGCCATCGTCGACAACGCATGCGGTAACGCCTTCGCCGGTGATGTTCTGCAGCCACACACCGGTGACGTTGATGTCGTTCCCGGGCGTCTTGACATTGAAGATGTGCCATTGCTCCTCGAAGATGGGGTCCTTGATTTGCAGCTGGCTCGCTACTTCCCGCTGAGCTTTGATGGCATCCGTAACAGGGGGCCCCCGTTCCGGCAGTTCTGGGATGACGCTGCGCTTCCAGTGCCGCGCCTTGATCTTTTGCTTTTGAGTGAAGTGGACGCTGTCAAGAGGATGATACTCGGGGCCGACTTCTCGTTTCCGCCGCCGCCTCTTCAGTTCTTGCTGTGCGTCGTCTACGATGTCGTTCTCGTGCTTGGGAGCCTTGAAGACATGGTGGTCTTCGAGTGTGCCGAAGGGGCCCTCATACGTCAGACCGAGATGCGCGGCGAGGTCTGAGGGCGATGCGGAGGGGGAGATGTGGATGGCATAATAGTCGTGGCTCGAGTAGTTGCGGGGTGGGAGGTGCTTTCCCGCAGTAGCAAGTGTGGCCGCGGTCAGCAGGCTCCAAAAGTGAATGCGCATGGCGGAGGCGCCGAAAGGGTATTATATGCAGCCGGCTGCGGTCATGTATCGTGTAGGGTCGTAGGGCGTGACGTGGCAGCAGGCGACCGTGCCGCGTGCGGAAAGAGTATGCGTAGGTGGGTGGTGAGGATACCGCGGGCGGCGAGTCGAAAGGGTAGTGGTATTGAGCTTATTGAGGAGACTGATTACGACGACAGGGTATTAGATGGACCAAATGCCTATGCGCGCGCTGAGTGCAGTGCGCCGGGTGGAACAATACAGGCGTAGTGTGAAAGAAGAGGAAGAAAGCACCTGGGGCGTCGAGTCGAGGAAGTCGGCGACTGAAACGTTGATGTTTGACACTTCTCTGGCTTCTTCGCATGCAGGTGCCTGTATTGAGACCCCCGAGACGCCTTCCCCTTGTGGCCCTAGTGGCCGCCGCCCTTGCCTTGCCGGTCGCCGTGTGGAGGATGCCTGTCTGTCCAAGATCTTGCCGTCGAGCCCCAGCCTCCTCTACCGCGCCCGCCACCACCATTCTGTGATATGTGCTGGCCATGGATAACTGCCTCGACCCTGCATCCGTACCGCTCTTCCTATGTCCTTGCACTTAGCATCTCTTCGTTTTCCCGCGACACATCGTTGTCATTGCGCCGTCCATCTTCGCTACCGCATATTGCACCCCAGCACACCTCCGCCGCATCTCCGCACCCGACATTCTTAGGTAGCTACCGCCACGCAGGACTGCAATTGAGACGTGTATCTAAGACCGGATGTGATAGTGTAACCTAGCTACATAGATGCGCCCGACCTAGTGTCGTCCCATCTCCCACAGGACGGTGACACGCCCCGCTTGCTTCACCGTAACCATTACCGATCCCATGATCTCGTCGCATCATGGAAAACAATAGGAACAGCGGCTCCTTCGAATCGCGGGCCGTCAATCCTACTCTACT